TCAACCTCTATACTGTACTACTCGAAGCGTTATTTCCCACACTGCCTCAAGCCATTGATGGCACGCACACTCCCGTACCGCTGAGTAGGCCCCTAAAAATCAGGATTCTCAAACTGGATGAAAGACTGACTTGAGGCTAAAGAGCCCGAGTAATTCTCATGGTCAAGCCTTTGCTACATGGACCACGTCTATGCTCAAACACGTCTACTGTTAGCCAACTAGCTCTAGTCTCCACCACATCTATCGGGCTTCTAGCCATATTGCTAAGTATAGGAGTTCCTATGCCCTAGTATCTTGTGTGCCAACCCACAAATGTTGTGGTTCCACGTGTTTTGATTAGGTTCAATGTAGAACCACAACATTTGTGGATCAAACCAGCACTATGGGGTCAAACGACTTTTATTCGCATTGGTTCACTGTGTTTGGTCCTTTCTTTCCAAATTTATCTGATGTCATAGGTAAGCGTGTAGTCAAAAAAGGCAGGTTTGATGACAACTTATTAAATAAGATTCGTAAACATATTTTTTGCTGATTTTGTCATCATTCACTCCTTTTAGCTTCCTAGTCAAACTAGGACCTATTCGTTTCTAAGCAGCGTTTCGAGACTACCAATGAATCACTTATATTAAGTGTATACACCCTATTTCGTTAAAGGTCAAACCATGGCATTGCTGTATGTAAGATTATGGTATTGATAAGACCTAGGCGAGCTCGAAGCTGCGGTCCACCCTAGATGGAAGCAAATTTTAGAAAAGCAAGGCTTTGTGAAATCTAATATAAATGTCAGCTTTACTCATATCATTGTGGATAAATTCAACTACCAGTTCTTCATCACTCTAAAATAAATAGCGTGAATACGATCTTTTGTTTACCATTCCCTTAAATATTAGAGCTACTTAGATTTATTCATTACAATGATCTTAAATATTTTCATACAAGTTACCTATCTCAAGAGCAGGAATCGTTACACCTTTTTACCCGAAATTCGTAAAAAATCTTCAACCTTTGGAAATGCTATTCTTGGGATTTTGTGTTCGGATGGATGTTTCCAGATTTTGGCTTTGCCATATTTGATAAACTCTTCTTATAATGTAAACCTACTAAAATTCAATTATCACCAACTAAAATCAAATCAATACTTTAGCTTCGTTTCTAAGTAAGTTTTCGAGTTTACTAGTATGTCATTTATATAGGAACTGTTTTCGTTATATTTCGTTTAAGGTGATGAATGGATTGTTAATTGAATTTAACATAGCTTTGCTTTCCTAAAAGGTATGCTTATCCAGGATGGATTTTAGTTTCAACCTCGCATAGGTCTTATCAGCGTCCACAGGGGGACTCCTACAATGACAGCGCAGCTTATAATCTCGACACGCCAAACATTACGCCACATTGCCACTGAACCATTGTGCCACAGGAAAAATGAGTATTTGGAAGAAGGCCAGACATTTTCTTATATCATATTCTGTAATGGGATTGTTGATAAAGCAAACTTATATTCGCTATAGCTATTAACTACTTTACTTATGCTTCGTTTATAAGTATCTTTTCGAGACTATCATTAGGTCATTTATATGTGATAAGGGGACTGGTGGTTCTATTTTTCCCACAATGATATGGACGTTAACATATCCATATTATATGCTTCACTGTCATGGTTCGAATCCCGCTGGGGGTGCGGATGAGATCTGGGCTAGGTCGAAACTGCAATTTACTCCATCTTGGATGAGAATATCTTTTGGAGAAGCAGGGCCATCTGAACTTCAGTGGAACTTTTAGGTATATCGATATCACTTTAGAAAAATTCAATTACTCATCCCCCTATCACCTTAAACGAAATGGGGTGAATACAATTCATTTAGTAATAATCTAGTTTTGGTGCTATCTCCAACGAAATTTGCTAATCAGTAAACTGCTTTGTCAACAATTATCATGGCTCATCTTCCCTTCGAAGAGATCACATTAAGAGCATATCACTGTACAATGAAATATAAATTGTTCTCAGCTGTGTGCCAAAACATCTTCATCAATCATGGGTACACTCATCTATTTAGCCCCCAAGTATTTAGTTTGCTAAATGGCTAAATTGGATCCTACTTTGGTTTTTACTTACTGATTCCTATTTGTAATATAATAGTTTATTTTAAATTATTATTCATAGAAATTTGTCTGCTCAAGCGACGTTAGATTTATCTGTAGGTCAGTTGCTAGGTGGCATATTTAAGTTGAAAAAAGCCTTTGTTTTATTTTACCTTTCCTTAGCATCTGAGCTTGGAATTTGATTATTTAAAGTATTCCTAGCTAAAATTACTATATCATGCAATATTCTCCCTTAGATGAGCTCTAGTCATCTCTCCTCGTCATTATGTTATACTTTGAACATTCGATTTAAATTTTCGATCTAGCATTTTATTTCCATTTTGTTTTCCATAGACTGGTCAACTTTTGGTGATGTCATACTTCAGAGACCCTGGCGACGGCGAGGCTTGAAACTCTCATCTCGACTCACTAAAGAGGACAAGATATATATTCGTCAAGTTGCAGCTCATCACTTTGACAAAATCATGGATGTCCTTCAACAGGTGCCGAGACCAATGTTGCTCTTTATCCGGTAAGCATAGTTTTATTTCTTTATTTTATATTTTTACTGAGATATTAATCTTGATTTATATATTATGCCTCTATTTATTCAGTTTTACTTTCGTTATGGTCTTCCATTTCTGGCAGTCAAAACTCATTTTTAAGCAAGAGACTTTCATGGGAAATTGCCTCCGTTTCTCCTCTGTTGGGCTCGAGTGTTTAAGTCTATCTTTGACTTGCATATTTAAGTGCTTTAGCTGTGTTTATTGGATCAGTCTTTAGACAATTTCTTTAAGATTAACTTGATTTCTTGCTTTAATTTTTTTGACTATTTCAAGAGTCGTGAGATTATATTCATAGTCTGCATACCTTAGTTAGCCATGGGGAATTAATATTTCCACCTTCAACTTTTAACTAATTGTGTCGCATTTATTTTGAACCTCTTTCTTCTCACTGGTTCTCGGGTTGTATTATATTATTCATACAAAAATATTTGCAATCCAGGATAAGGAAAAAGTTGAATTTGCAAGCAGACTGTGATAGAGCCCAGTTTAGTTAACACTGATAAGGATTCGAAATGAGAATAAATTTCCGGATGCATCCCTTTTACCCGGTCATCTCTGACTAGTTACATCCAGCCATGTGTGCAATGCTTGATTTTTCCTTATATTTCTTAAATTATTTGAATACTAGACATAGATTTGGTTTCCAGACCACTTTATGGTCTTTGATTTGTTTGAAATCTTTATTTGAAGCTTGTATCATCAACAACTAGGCTTATTCACATAGGGAGCTCTTCAAATCTGACGATTTTATTAATGGCTGTATTTCAAATGCTCTAAAAAATTCTTACTCGTTGACTTTTAAAAATGTTGAAATTTTCCTTTTTTACTACCGGTTCCTGATACCTTGATTTCATTCTTTATACCTCAAGCTTGATTTTATGATCGAGATTTATTTCCTCTCTTAACGGCTTTGTAATTTTGCCTTTATAATTAATTGCCATTTAAGCAATCTAAACTTGATCCGTTCCATCTGCCGCGTCCACGGAGATCCTGTGGACCGATATCATCTTATGGCGGCTTCCGCAATTTTGGGTGTATATTTGGATAATGACAAGGATCCGGAGAGTCATCCAGCCAAGTATGCTGTTGCTCTTGACCTTCCTTGGCCTTATCGCATCATAGTCGACATGACTACGGCCATCTACTATTGGAGAATAAAGTAATATTTTCAATGATCAATTAACTAGTTGCTTCCTTGCATAACACTATATTTTAGGCTGGTTCCTGGATGATCTCAGGCTTTTAATCTGTTAATCACTGCCATTTTTTCTTACGTCAAACTTGGAAGCTTCCAGATATTTTCTCTTTTCGGTTGACTAAATGCTTATTTATATATACCTTTTGCAAATCCTGATGATGTTGGGATATTCAATTCTCCAAACTAGATTGTTGCTGAACTCCGCTTGTCATTTTCAAGATCAAATTGTTTCGAACAAACTTCTCGTGCCTGTATCCTTTTTGGGAACTTAGCATTTTCCTCAACAATAAATCTCATTCCTGAGAAAATTTGGATTCTTAAGCTGTTGATAGTTTCCATGTATTGTCTTTCTGATTTCAATTGTGGCCACAGAATAAATTCTCACAGAATTATTATGTATGCCTAGAAGTGTATACAAAATACAATCTTAAATATCTTTTATTGACTATCTGTCCTGGAATTTGATAGGCTTGATAAATCGCCTACATCAGCTGCTTAGGATTCAATTACAGACGATTCCCGTTTATTTTGTCCCAGTTCTATAATTTTGATTGGCCTCACATCAATTAATTAAATTTTAGCCTAATGATATTTACTTGAAATAACCAAAGTATCTCTTTTACAGCATTAATGAATTTTACCTCACGTAAAGAGTTAAGGATAGTGTTTTTAATCTTTTTCTTGGGTTATTTCGCTACCATCACTTACCAAATGCAAAATAGGCATATATAGTCTACTAGATTAGCATAGCTTAATTAGCTTTGTGTAACAGATTCCTCGGCTCTTCCTTTGTATACTTTGCCTGATTTCTTTACAATGTAAACCTTCCAACCACCAACAAAGCATCTGGAGATTAAACTAGATTGTATAAATTAACCAAATCGTCAGCAAAACATATTTCCTTGATTTTTTTTGCGAACCTTCACTTTTATTTTTATAAAGAGGTATCCAATTTATAATAGCAACCTAGAACTTCAATAATGATTCGATATCTTTTGATAACATTACATAGAATTCTGCATTTCCCGATATCCAGGATCAACTCATTTGCCAACTAATATGCTTATTTTAACTTTTATTAATGATCAGACAAACAAGCTCTTTCTTCAGCAAATCTTGCCCGATTATGGGTTCACGAACCCCATGGCCTTGTCTGCCTAACACATGAAGCATTGTCCTTAAGGATGTCGTTGGGCTAAGGATTAACCGCGTCAGTGTGAAATATCCAACTGTTACTTAGCCAGGTGTCATTACCAGACCCTATGTAGCTAAGTTTCTTTGTAGAAGCTACTTACGGACTCTGACAGCAGTCATTTACAATCATTCACTTGTGTGTTTTTGTTATGACTATATCCTAACGTTTTTTCAAATTTTTTGTCAGAACTTATTTTCCAAATGTACACATTTCTGAGCCCTCCTTTTGTTATTTATGGAGAGATTTCATCTGTAAATTCAGTATACACGTCCGTGATGTAGCCAGCTTTCATCACGCTAATTCCTCTCCAAATGGAGTGCTGATAATCTTACTCCTACTTGTCTGTCTCAGTCTAAGCGGCAGACCTTTCGGAATTTCATCGTCCATTTTACCTCCTGCCTACCTACTCTTGACATCACTATATCATCCGCTCATCGATTAATTACTTACAAGCATTTTTACTTATTTGACTAATTGTCCATAACCAGAACGTTATGAATATCTGCTGTAATTCGACAATATAGGTCTTTATTGGATTTTGATATGATGAAGACAATCTGCATAAATATTCATTTATATATATATATTGGCAAGTATATCAGTTTGGAATCCTAGACCTTATCGTACTTGTATAGGAACTATCCAAGTATTTGCATACCTTGATCATTTAACGCCACCTTCTATGCTAGTTCATTCATTTCTTATTGGCTTTGATTTAGTAATTTTTCATATGCCTTGACGGCCTCGTGATCGGCATCAACGAAAAAAGCCCTGCCATATTTAATAAACACACTGAAATTGGACACATTA